ATATATATATGTGTATATATATATATATATATATATATATATACATAGGCCTTTATGGAAACTTTTTTTAAAGCAGAAGTTACATTTCTACATAATTTTTGGGTAGTTACGTCAACATGTCCGGTGGTTTCATGATGTGTTTGAACGTTTTTTTGTTTTTTTTTAAGAATATCGATCTCATTCAAGTAGCATGATGAGCTAATTTACTGCTAACATTTTATCACGGTTGTACTCTGCTGTGTATATATATAATATCTATATATGAATATATTCAAAGCAATTCATTTTCGTCCATCGGTTTCAAACAATGTGCGTCAAAAAAGTTGGTCATTGTTTAAGTTGCTTTTCCTCGGGTGTGTTTGGGATTGTTTTGTCAGTGGCAGCTGAATGGAGAGTTGGATTTAGATTGACGGCTGTTGTAACAGTGTGCTACTGTGCAATAGTGTTGCTTTCGTGGTTTCTTGTCCTGTCTCTTGCTCGGAATCGTGAGAGGTCTAAGCGCGTAGCCTTGTGTAACTCCCTATCCCGCGTCTCTTTGGGCTGTTTGGAGTAGTTTGTAGTTTGCTGCAGTTGACCCGGAGGTATTTGTTAAAACCTTTAACTGCTTTGAAATTTGGTAGTGCTGTGTGCTTTCATTTTGTCTGATTGTTTTTTTATGGGAATAAGAGCTTGTGGTGCTTAATGTAGAAGGAGTATACAGTGCAGACGATTAGAGAAATTCAAATCAATGATACTGATAATAACTACAAATGTGTGGGCAGGAAAAATTGTATCCTCCAAAGCATAGGAATGCCCTTCGACATCTGTGATGTCTTCAGTCCTTGCTTAAACATAAGAGGTCATTCACAAAGTAAAGGAATGAAAAACACAAGTTTTAGAGATGTGATTTTTAAAAGTTGAACTTTTATCTTGAGCGCTGCATTCTTAGATTGCCGTGCCATGTGTGAGATGCATGACACACACGTCCATCTAGTGCATGTTTACATAGAAAACCAATGGAAAAGCTGCAGTGGAATTCAAAAATGCATCCTGTGTGAACAGCCCCTAAGACTCAAACTGAAAAATTAAAACTGGAAATTTGGGTGAATATCACAAAACCTGACAAGAATTATTTCACCTCAAAATCAAGGCAAAGAAAAATAAAATTCTGTTTTACTACAAGGAAGTGATGCTTTTTTAGGATTATTCATTTTTATGTGTATTGCAACATTTTTATGACAATTAAGCACATTTTATCTGCCTATTCTATGAAAGCCAGTTTTCGTCATGAAAATAAATAAATAAAAAAGGTAAATGCGTATTATGTTACAATTCTGAACTTTTTTTCACAGTTTTGACAAAAAAAATGAATTATGAGACATAAACATGCAACTGCAAGACAGTCAGAATTGTGAATTCGTAATTACCTTTTTTAATAAAGAAAAAAAACTATTATGGAAAGTCAGAATTGGGAGATTATGAACTTGCAATTGTGAGAAAAAAGTCAGAATTCTGAGTTTATATTTTGCAATTCTGAATTTTTTTTCCCAGATCTGCAAGTTTATGTCTTGTTTTATTATTATTATTATTGTTATTATTATTATTATTAATTCTGTGGTGGAAACAGGCTTCCATATAATTCTTATTACCAATGTGAAAAAAAGTTACATTTTAGTTCCTGTTTTTGTTTTGTTTTTTGAAAAGTATTATTTAAAATGTTTAGAATTGATACATTATGGTAGTATTTGTAAATGAATACTTACATTTTTTTATTCATTTTTACAAAAAATGGTTGCAAGTAATGATTTATGCTCTATATGGTAATTATAATTTGGCAAATGTGCTTAATAGTCACGAGAATAATGTCACAATGCAATCTTAACAATGCTAAAATTAGACTTTTATCCTAAATGTTTCTTTTTTCTTAAATTTTAGTGCCCATGTTTTTGTGAGATTCACCCATTCAATTCACTTTTGATAGGAGTACAAGCAATGTGTGTGGAATGCACTTGAAGACCTCAGTGACTGTATGCAATAGTGAGAGTGTTTTGGGTGCACAAGCACGTGGTGTGAAGCATTGAAGAGCACAATCAGAATGGTCACTGCAGGCTTTATCCGAACGTTTCCGAATCAGAGAGCGTCTGTCCAAAAACAAACGTGACGTCCGAACGGTCCTGCACATATTGATTCCCAAGCTTCTGATTGAGGCCTGTTTGAGGAAAACGCTGGTATTGCACTTTAACCCCTCCTCCCCCTCCCTCCTTATCTTGCACTTTGCAGGCACTGTTAGGCTTCCATTCTCTAACCTCAAATGAGCGGCTCTGTGTTGTGAGATCTCGGATCAGTTTCCTTTACATAAATCCACCACACGAGAGAAACTGATGGCAGACGGGCCACCCCGAACGCCTGCCATGTGATCCGTGCGAGGGAAGCCCGTCCTCCATTCCCCAATTTAGAAAGCAAATCTATGTCAAATATGAAATGGAAATTATGTTTGAAGCCATAATGGTCCCCTTGAAGGTGACTTATGGAAGCAGTGTATCTTTTTATTCTTCCTCAGTTTGTATAAAAGATTATAGATTGAAAAAATATATCATTTGCAACATAAATTAATTATGTATTCCAAAACCCTAATAATTCTAACTGAGGTACTTGAAATCATGAAAAAGAAATTGCCATAAAATTATTAGCATACAGGTCACAAATGGTAAAAAAAGGATAAATTATAAAAAATATATTTATCTAATGAGAAAAAAATAATAAGCTCAAAGTTGCATACGTTTATTTTATACTAATACGTGTAAATGTGATCTTAATCTCATAGTTGCTTAAGAAATCTAGGGTTGGTATGTCGTGGTTTTAGGCAAAAGGTGCTAGTAGCCAATCTACCTTCGTTAATGTTGCGCATGAAATTGTGAAGCACTTAGTCTACCTTGCCATCGAGTCCCACGTTTCTGACATGAAATACTGTAGCAGTTCTCATTTTAACTGTCCTGCATCAATGGCACATAAAAATCTTCTGTGGCTTCCGTCACACTGAAATCCCCCTACCGCACTGTAAATGGTTGGCTTTTAAAATGGTGAATCTCACAAAACTGTTAGGAACGTATCTTATTTCATCCAAAAATCGAAAAAAATGTATAAATAAAAAAATATTAAAAAAGTAAAAAATGTCAATGCAAACACACACACACACACACACACACACACACACACATATATATATATATATATATATATATATAAAATAATAATAATTAACCGTTTTTAAATTACTAGGTCTTTTTAATAATTAATAATTATTACAAATAAATAATTGTGATGCAGTAATTTAAAAAAGGTAAATTTTTTATTATTTATTTTTAATAAATATTTGTCAATTTACTATGTCATGCAAATGTAAAACATTTTTAAATGTATTTTATTATGCGAAATGTCTAGATGCATAAGCATCATTTTCTTTAAGCAAAATATTTATTTATTTTATTTTATTTTATAATGCAACCTTGGCATGTTCTACACATTTCTTACATCATATTTCATCCGCCACGCCCTCCCAAAAATATACAGCTACATTACACACTGCATGAAAGGCAATACTGAAAATTGGCATAATAGGGGCACTTTAAAAAATAAGTAACTAAATAAAAATCTAAATTTACTACATTACATTTTTTACTCTGTCATTTGATTTTGCATTAAAATGCAACATTAACATGTTCTTCATAGGTTTATGAGATTCACCCTTCAAAGATTCACATACTATTGAGTGAACAAGAGTAGAGGACAAGGCAACGCAAGTATCCTACATGTTGCCAGGTTAAATCTGAGATAGGAGCTCAGTGTTGCTCGCTCTATGACATTTCTGACTATGTTGTGTTTTATACTGTCACTGAGCTGTAATGAAACCTTAGACAAGCAATGTGCTTTGAGTTTGGCCCAGTAGAATGTATCTTTCTCAATGGAAGTTTAGTTGTCCATTCGCCATCTCATCACACGAAAGGTGGCGTGTAGTTTCCACTAGGAATATTGTGCGTGGCTTCAATTACCCGTCTTCCTAGATTATGTGCCGTACACATATGCAGACGTTGTACGATCATGACACTACAACAGATTTATTTCGAAATTACAGCAATAGCTTGCAGTCGAA